CCTAAACTCTAAACCCTACATAAACCGCAGATTCCCAAAGTTTCAGCAGACCCCCGAGCCTGGCCTACGCCCAACTCGGAACCCACGAGGCTCATATCCGGCCAACCGTGGATTGTGGTCCGCCTAAGGTGGGCCACTTGTGCTTGGGGGGGGGGGGGGGGGGGGNNGGGTGATGAAAAAGTGTTGTTGTTTTTGTTCGTTGCCTGTCGTGGTGTGTGTTTTCTCTTGTGGTTCAGGGTTTTTTTGGTCCAGGTTTTCTGGGTAATGCTGGGGTGTTTGGACATGGTGTGTGTGTGTGTGTCTGTACATGTGCATGTGTGCGTTGTCGAGTGTTTGGCGCATAACTTCGCAGAAAACTTAAAGTAAACTGTAGTCATGCCAACACCCCCACAAGTAAGCCATCCCGCAAGCGTCGACATCCACATGTCGGCCTAACTCATACACTGAGTATCCACGGTCCACACGGCTCCATGCCTGAACCCACGTTGAGTCCTCAACCCGAACCTCCGAAGCATCAGCCTAAATTTGCTGTCGACCCAATATGTACATGTACCTAAGTCCTGAACCGGAACCCCGTCAAGACGAACAACAGCCTACACCCTACTGGTATCACGTGCCCCGCCAGTGAGGATGAACATCGTTACTTGAGTCGCGAGCTAGGCTCCTCATACTCTGGATGTTTCAGTGCCACAGTGTGACATCAGGCGCCTATGCAGCCGAACAAACTTGAATCTGTGTCTCACCTGCAACCGACTAGGCACCGCTTTGCATGTCCGAGAGTGAGCGCCGAATACCTCCAGGCACTCGCCCGCCCACCACGGCCGCCGGCCTCCTTCACGGCCAAGTGCTCGGAGATATCCAGAAAGCTCAACACGAGAGCCGAATAGTCGATATCAGCAGAGCTTGTAAAATTATTACTTAATGTATCCTCTCATTATTACGGCCCCTTGACTCTCTATGGGCTCCAGTTTGTGTTCAGGGCCTTTCAGTGCTCACGACATCGGCGGCTTGGGCTTCGAGCTCCGGGATGGTAAACTTTGACATGAACAAGACCTTTCCGTGAGTAGGCCCTGAAGATCCCTGAAGCAGAGTCATAGTCATGGGGCCGCAAGTATTTCTGGCATGAGCGCCCAGAAACTAGAATTAGCGTGAATGAGGCGTCGACAATATGAAGTGCAGGGTCGTCACTTTTCACGAGCGTCGCCCAGATCAGACCCAGATCATGGTCGTCTGCATTCCTCCTGACCTTAATCATCCTCGTCGTCGTCTTATTCATCTCCTTCGTCGAGCCATCGCCATTATCGCCACCGTCATAATAGACTAGACACCGCCAACTCTTGCACAGTCGGAACGGTGAGTATGCATGCATGTGCGTTTTTGCTATTGAGTCACGGACCGTGAGTGTAGGAGGTTGTGAGCCCACAGGCTTTAGCTTGGAGTTCGTAGGAAAGGGTTCCAGGATGAGCAGCCATGCAGCGTCAGCGACGCTCTAGCATGGACAGCACGACGTTGCTTGTCGTTGTTCTTCTCAGCACCCTGCGCTGTGTCAGGCTCCAGAGCCTGAGCCCTGAAACCATGTAGCCTCAAACCCACAACCCTAAGCCCTTAAACCTGTCTCCTTGTTTGGTCCGCGACTGTTCCAAAATACGGTCCATGGTCACAAGAGGTGCCTGAACAGGTTTGCAACGAGGAGCCCCATGCCTGGATGACAGACGCTCCTTCCTGCCTGTTCCAGGAGACTCACCCTAAACCCTAAGTCCTATATTGTAGCTAATACACGCTAAACCCTGAACCCTAAAATGACTCAAATCGTCAATCCTGTCGTATACCCGGAGCATACACACACATGCGGGGAGTTCGGTTTGGCGACTCCTGGCCATGTCTTCTTGGTCCACCATCCCGCGGCCGACATCTAAAAGCCGGACTCAGAGTTTCCAGGAGCTTTTAGGGTTTAGGGTTGTTTGCGAGGCTAGCGCAGCAAGTGGCATGAGTATCTGTGGGGCATGCATGTGGTACTGATGTGAGACGACGTGTTAAAAGATTTCTTGTGACATCAGCCACATGCAGCAGTGATCGCTGCTGTTTCTGCTCTGAGTCCCTTTCGGAACTCCGACGAAAGCAAGTTCCTTTGGCTGGCAGGACAAGGCGTGATGGATCTGCAGTCGCTTCATTCGCTGAGCTGGAATACCTATCGGCCTCCTGTCCGTTAGTCGTGGATGTGCTTCTATCACAGTGAACAAAGCGCAGCTTAGCACAACCGCTAGGATGAAGTATATATTCTGGGGTTTAATAGAGTATGCGGTCATCATGCAAACAGCACTGCTCAATGCTGGAAAGCGGAGTGTTCGAGCCTGTGCAGCCACTGCAGTTCAATCGGAGCTCTGCATGTAGCGGATCTGAGTCTCCAGCAAGGTATGTCGGCGACTATCTGCATGACGCGGCTGTGATCCTCTTGCTGGGACATGTCTTCTGCAGGCACCTGAAGGGTGTCCTTTCTCATTGTAGCTTAAACCCGCCCAAAACGCAACGGCACTGCACATTGGATTACTTCAAGCCTGAAGCTCCAAACTCTGAACCTCAGACCACCGTGTGCTAGGTACTTTAGTGTGTGTGTGTGTTGTCTTGTCGCACGCTCTGGTAGGGATTTTAAAGTAACAATGCCCGACCCATGGATCCGTACCTGCTTATGTGCGAGTGTGCGAGTCGAAGCCACCATGTGTTGTGTACTTGGGGCTGGCATGTCTTCACTTCACATGACGGTTATCCGAAGTTGAAGCGAGCTTTGTGTCCATTGCAGCCCTTGCCGGGACTTGTCCGAGTGTAAGAATCGGAAAGACCCAAACCACTAAACCCAAAACCCCAAATTTTGGGGCCCCAATAATTACTGTACCAATCCTGTTTTGAAGATACTTTATATTATGAACATACTATAATGGATCTCATAACCCTATTCCCTATTCTAATTATTAATTAAGGCCCCAGCATTAAAGCCTAAACGCCCAGACCCTCGCTCAGGCGATCTGTCGCGGGCTTCTCACGCCGAACACAAAGTAGCTTTGGCTGAGAGCTTGGGCAGAGGAGCGTTTATAAAAACCCTTACAAGAGCCAAATAGAGCTCGTTGCAGGAAGCCTTATATAGACAACCCTAAACCCTAAACCCTAAACCTAGAGCCCTGCTTGATCTGCATCCCTCGACCTACTAGATCTCCGCTGGAAATCGCTAGACTTCGGGGTATGCTCTCAGTTTCGGCTCACGCTGCAGAAGCGAGTCTTCCATGCTCTGCACGGCAAGGTCTATACTTAGTGCTCTACATCGCACGGTACCTGGACCTGCTGGACCACAGCTGCTCACCTCTGACATGGAGAGGTAGCGCATTCTTGGTTGGGATTGTGGGCCCCGATTTCCCGCAGGAATCCGCTGCCTGCCAGCCCCACCGGAAACCCCATCCGATCCTTCCTTGCCGGCGGTCGAATCGCCGTAGAGAGCAGTCGAGGTCCAAAGCCTTTAACCCGCATCCCCCAAGAAACGCACACACTGAAGCTCCAGGGTACCGTCTGAAAAGATCACTGCATCCACCTGTCGGCTTTCCCTTGAAGGTCCAGTTTTCGTGAGTCCTTCTCGTGGTTTGTTTCTTTTGTGTGCGTGTGTGTGTGTGTGTGTGTGTGTGAGTGTGTGTGTGTGTGTGTGGGCGTGTGTGTGTGTGTGTGTGGGTGTTTGTGTTTGTGTAGTACATGTGTGTTGTGTGATATACAAATGTACGTACATACATTCAAACCTGCATGCATATAAACAGAATATACATATATTACATGTAAACATATATAGATATACATAAATACATAAATACATAAATATATATATATATATATACACATATATATATATATATGTGTATATATATATATATATGTATCTCTCTCTCTCTCTCTGCTTGGCTCGGCTACGTGGGATCAGATTGCACCACAGGCGACGTTTTTATCGGCAAAGTTTTGAGTCTCAATGCAGAAGAAATATTGCACCTGCAGGCAGGTCGTGAGCAGTAGGGTCCTAGAACCCGAAAAGAAGGTGCCCCAAATTGAAGAACCCCCAAGTGCCCAGCACGCTCCCGAGCGTGCTGCCAAGGCCAACACACTTATCTTGTGGCACACAAGCAGCTCGACTGCATAGCAGGTACGCAGTACCATGCGACAAGCTTTATTTGGTTTTTAGGGGCCGGCACACACCCAAAGCCCGTGCTGACAAAAGGGTCTGCTACGCGTTCAGTGGATCTTGGACTGCAGGCTCTTAGCCGCTTAGGGGAGCTAGTCAGCGCGGCATAAACTATGATTCAAGCAGCTGGCAGCTTACACATGCCCGATCGCCGGAGGCAGGAGGTTCGGAAAGGCTCCATTCGCCACACAATGAGCATGGATATGCTTCACCAGGAATAAAGAAGTGTTGCCGCAAGCATGTTTGCCCTCGATGGAAAACTTGAAAACCTATTGGTCCAACCTTTCGCGCAATCCTGCGAGCCACGCCTGAAGGTTGTTCTTCATTGGCACTGCAGCGGCTGCGCTCTGCGCATTCTGCCGTGTGGCTGTAAAACTTATTCTTGCTATTGTTGTTATTACTACTATTATCTTTATCCTTAATATCATTGCTCTTATCATTACGATCCCCTTCTCTCTCGGCATCTCGCCATAGCTCACGTCCAACCGAGCGTAATAGAAGCCTAAATAATTACCAATATCATTCCTAGGGTTCCTTTTTATAATCACACTATAATGGGGCCCCAAACCCTATTCTAATTATTCAGGCCCCCTGCATTATACCAAGATCACCACCCGACCCTCCCAACCTCAACCTGAAGCTCTTCAAGCCTCGACTGCCCTGCGTTGAAGCCCCAATCCCAAACCTAAATCGCCGAACACTAATCCCTAAACCCTATGAAAGGGGCGCATTACACTAACCCTAAACCCTAAACCCTATATTAAATTTATACCTCAAGCCCCACAGCCTGAGGTCTCTGGAGCCAAACCTACCAGAAACAATCAGACACCTGCCCTGCCTTCCTTCTCGCACTGGAGCCCTGGCCTCTCTAAGGGATTACGGTTTAGGGTCTGGGGTTTAGGGTTTATGGAGGGCTCCATGGAATGAGAATCCGTTCTTTCCGTGGGTTTGCGCCGCACCGCCCCATGAAAAGGAGTGGGCTGGGGCCAGGATAACATCTTTCGCGGGAGGGCAACTGCCTCTGTATGGGTATGCACGTGTACACATACATGCGTACGTACATACATACATACATACGTACATACCTACATATGTATATACATTCATGTGTATATACATATAGATATACACATGTATATGTTATACATGTAAATTCCACTGTATATGCATACTTATTGGACATACATACATAGATGCATGCATGCATGCATAAGCAAGCCAGACAGCCAGCCAGACAGCCAGACAGCCAGCCAGCGAGCAAGCAAGCCAGCAAGAACGAACGCACGCACGCACGCACGCACGCACGCACGCACGCATGCATGCATGCATGCATGCATGCATGCTTGCATGCATGCATGCATGCACACACACACACAC